TAAGACTCAAAACTGCAAAAGCCCTGGACGAGAGTGTGGGAAAAACTCTTAATCTTATTGGCCTAGGAAAAGAATTTATGAAGAAGATCCCATTGGCAATTGCAGCAACAAAATAAATAAATAAATGGTACCTAATCAAGTCAAGAAGTTTTTCACAACTAAGGACACAACCAAGAAAGCAAAGAGACAACCTTTGGAAAGGGAGAAGATATCTGCATGCTACGAATCTGACAAAGGGCCAGAATCTACAAAGAACTCAAGCAAATCAATAAGAAAAGAACAAACAACCCCATTAAAAATTGGGCAAGAGAGATGAACGGAAACTTTTCTCATGAGGACAAATGACCAACAAACATATGAAATAATGTTCATCATCCCTAATTATCAGAGAAATACAAATCAAAACCACTGTATTGATTCTATAATTCTTATAATAAGTCTTAAAATCAGGTAGTATAAATTCCCACATTGGTTTTCCTTATCAAAGTCTTGGCTATCCTAGGTCCTTTGTATTTCCATATAAATTTTAGAATCAAAACTATGGTATATGTATACCATGGAATACTATTCAGCCTTAAAAATGACAGAAACTTTACATCTTTTGAATTAACTTGAATGGAGATGACTTAGTAAAGTATCACAAGAATGAAAAAAGCAAGTATCCAATGTACTCAATACTAATATGTATGCTCACACAAGAGAAAAAATTCAATTCAAGTTGGGGGGAAGGTAGACAGGAGGGGAATCATTGTGCTCCCACCTAATGGGCACAATGTAAGGGTATGTGGCACATCTACTGGGTGTGGGATACAGCAACAGGGACTTTACCTAACAAATGCAAACGTCATAACCTAATCTTTTATACCCTGATATTAGCATGAAAAAAAATTTCTTTAGCTCCCATTTGATCCTGCAATCCCATTATTGGGCATCTATCCAGAAGGATAAAAAACCCTTTTATTATAAAGACACTTGTACTAGGCTGTTTATTGCAGCCCAATTTACAATTGCTAAAATGTAGAAATAGCCTAAATGTCCTTCAACCCAGGAATGGATTGGTAAGCTGTGGTATATGTATACCATGGAATATTATTCAGCCATAAAAAATGGAGATTTTGCAGCATTTGTACTAACCTGAATGGAGGTGGAACACATTATTCTTAGTGAAGCATCACAGGAATGGAGAAGTATGAATCCCATGTATTCAATTTTGATATGAGGACAATTAATGACAATTAATGACACAGTGGAGCATGGGAGAAGGGGAGACCAGACAGAGAAGGAGGGAGGGGATGAGGGAAAAGAAAAGAAAAAAAAAAAGAAAAAAAGAATGACTAATTCTCACATAAATGGGATTTAATTGTGACCAAAGTACATTACTTGAACATTAATTTTTAATTCAACTTGTTAATATGTTGTTTAGGATATTGCATCCTCATTTATATGTAAAATACATTTGTAATTTCCCCTTTATAATAATATATTTTCTCCAATTTTAATATCAGGTGTATCCAGATTAAGTAGAATAATTTTGAAGTATTTCTTCTTTTTCTATGGTCTATAAGATTTGGCATGATCTGTTTTTTTGAAATTATCCTTTACTTTTATTTATAAATATTAGTTGTCTATTTTTTGAGACATTAACTCAAAGAAGTTAACTGATGACTCCATACTGAACCTCAGAGTCAAAGCATTCTATAATAGACATACTCTTATTTGACAATATGAATGTTACTTTTTTTGCATTATTATTATTACTATTGCTTAATATTTTGATGCAGCAATCATCTGATTTCTTTTCTGAATGTATTTATCTTCGTTCGTTCTTTACAAGGGCTTTGTTTCTAGTCCTTTCTTAAACATTGTTATTGTTATTAAATTTTAAGCCTTTTTAATTTTGTGAGGGCAAAAAGTGAAAACCTAATAAACACATGTATATGTAAATAAAAATAAATAAAAAATAAATTAAAAAAAATCAAGCAATTAATAGTCTTGATATGCCCTATCAATAGGTAATGCAAACCAGTTGTGGAAATAAAGTCTTAAAGATGATTGTTTGGTAATTGGGGAGGCTTTTGCTGAAAATGAGGTGTTATATTTTATGGAGTCTCAGTGGAATGCTACTTTTTATGGCAAAGCTGGATTTAAAATTTCAAAATATTTTTCAAATACCAGTAGTTATAAATTGCAAGCACATGCAAGACTCTCTTCATGAAAATTCTCCTTTGAGTCTTGCAAAGAACAGCCTGCAGTTTAGAGAAGATATATTTAATGTGTGAGAATTCATTTAAATAGATTTTAGAATGTAATATTTTGATATTCTTCTGAAGTTTAGATAGTAAAATAAGGTAATGTTATAGAATATAATTTCACACAATTTGTAAAATTTTCATTATTTCTCTGAAGTTTACATAGTAAAATAAGATAATGTTATAGAAAATAATTTCATGCCATTTATAAGTAGTCAATGCATTTAATTAGACTATTAGCAATTTTAAAGAAGCATGATGAATTAAACAGATACCTTTTATGTAATATAGAAAATAATACTGTGCTTATTGCTATTATTAATGTGATTTATACATTATTTAGTGTCTTTTGGTGTGTTACTCATAATTATACCAGGTAATCATAGCCTGGAAAATGCTATTATATTTACATAGGAAATGTATGTGAGTTGAAAAGCAATTATCTGTACTGTCATATAAATGTCTTAAACTATTTAAAAAAATTTTTTTTTAGCATCAGTTTGGTAATTTCCATCAAAAGAATCTGCTAGCATTTGTATTGAAATTTCCTTTTAATCAATAGATCATTTGGACAGAAACAATGTCTTTGAAATATTGACTCTTCTGATTTATGAACATGACATATCTCCATTTAGGCCTTCTTTAATTTCTCTCAATGATGTTTTATAGTTTTCAGGACACATATCTTTTACAGCTTTGGTCAGATTTTCCGTAAAAATTTCTTCTTTTTTTGCTGCCAAATGATACTTTTAAAATTTCAATTTCCAATTGTTCATTGCTAGTATATAGAAGCACAATTAATTTTTTTCTGCAATTAATTTTTGTATACTGATTTTGTATCCCACAACTTTTGCTAAACTTACTTTGTGTTTCAGTAGCTTTTTAGTCATATTTTATGGCATTGTCTTATGCAAATAAATGCAGTGTTAAATATTTCTTTCCAACCTGAATCCCTTTTATTTCTTCATCTTGTTTTATTTCAGCAACTAGAAACTCCAATACAATGTTTAATAGAAGACAGTTTTAATAGAGTAATATTTCTGATTCCCAGGCTCTGATGAGGCTGAACTAAAGGACTTGATTCAATTTAATGAGGTACTTATTACAATGTACCAAATCATTATTTCATTTTTAAGCTTTTCACTTTTCCAGCATTCAAATATATTCATTAAATATTCAGATATTGCCAAGACAGGAGGAACACTTGAGGCCAGGAGTCTGATGCTAACCCGGGCAACACAGTGAGACTCCCATGTCTTAAAATACAATTCAAACCTTGAACAACTGCTGTCTGCCACGCACTGTGCTGTTTGTCAAAGACACAGTGGTGTCCTGTGTCCTGTGTGCCAGGCACTGTGCTGTTTGTCAAGGACACAAGTGCACAAACAGACATGGATCTGGCCCCAATGCAGTCCTACCATCTTATTGAGATAAAGAGTTAAAAACACAGGCTCGGAATTCATTTGGCTCTGGTTCGAATTTATCTCTGCTCCTTACAGGTTGCTTGACCTTGGAAAAATTAATTTACTTTCCTAAGCCAATTTCTTCATCTGTAAAATAAGAGCATTAATAATACCTATTCATAGGATTGCTGTGAGGATTAAATTAATGGCTGTAAAATCCTTAGAACAGTTTGACACATAATAAACGGTCAATAAATATTATCTATTTTTAGAGGGCAGAATTAGTTCTACACAGGCTAAATCTACAAATGACTGGTGAAGAATGGGTGCGCCAACATTAAGAAGCCTAAGAAGTCATTTCATTTAGCTGCTAAGCACAGAGGCAATAGTGTCAGCCATACCTAGATTTAAATCCTTGCTTCGCTGTTTACTGGCTGTGTGACTTTGAGCAAACTACTCAAGCAAGAGCAAGGCCTGCCAAGTGCGCGGTGCAGTATTTGACAAACAACAGATGTGTTTAATGGACAGCAGTTAGTGACTCAGACGTCATGAAAGTCAATAAATAGTGCCAATATGTGTTCATAATAAATATCATTCATTAAAGCTTACCATTTGGGGCCCTTTGCTAAAACTTTCATACATTGTCTTTTATGCTCAATCCAGCTAGGTGAGCACAGTCGGCCTCATTTCATGATAAAGAAACGAGATGATCTTTGTGCAGCTATGATCAGTGGGAAGTTGGAGGTTTGGTAAGAGTGGCTTGGAAACCACCCTTGACCATGCAGGGGCTCGCAGTGCGTCACCTATCCGCAGCTGGGCGCTCGACTTTCCGCTCTGGAGATGGCGCCGTTAGAGCCACGGAGCCCCTGCTCTCAGAGCCCCTGTCTCGGAGCCTACCAAACCAGACCTCTCCCGCCGCCACTGGACTCCAGCCCATTCCTCGGCCTTCTCCGCCACCTCTCCTCCCTCTGACTGTCTTCGGGGAGCGAACGTCCATCCGAGAGGCGGGGCGCGAGCCGGGCCGGGCGCTGGAAGAACCCGCACCTGTGCCTCAGTGGGTAGGGCGCCGGCCCCATGTATCAAGGGTGAGGGTTCAAAACCGGCCCCGGCCAAAGTACAACAAAATACCCCAGCCTTGTGGCGGGCCTGTGGTTCCAGCTACTTGGGAGGCTGAGGCAGGAGAATCGCCTAAGCCCAGGAGCTGGAGGTTGCTGTGAGCTGTGACGCCCTAGAGCTCCACCGAAGGCTACACAGTGAGTCTCTTAAAAAAAAAAAAACAAACACCTTCAGACACCGTCTCCAGGCAACGCGCCGGGGCGGGGCTTTGCGTCACTGAGGAGCGACCGGGTCGCCGGGATTGCTGCGGCCGCTTGTGGGTCTGAGCGGCTGGCCGGGGCGGCTCTCCTGCCGCCGAGTGCGCGATGCCTTGAGCCTGGGTGAGCTCCGTGGCACTGCCCTGTCGTTGTTTCCCTTCCTTGCTGCTCTTCCACCCTGGGGCTAGGATAGAAGCCTTGACTGCCGGGCGGGCTTCGGAGGGGAGCTAGGCCTCGGCTTGGAGCGCAGGGCTGGCTTAGGAGGCCCTTCTGCGGGCGCCCGCCTCCAGCCTGCTGGTTTCCAGTTGCCCTAGATGGCCTGTCCCACTTTGGGGATGGTTCTGGGGGACCAGGAGAAACTTTTTCCTCTTGGAGCCCGGAATGGTTTTTTGAATGTTGCCGCCGGCGCGGTCTGTCGGCCACCGGACTTAGCTGTTGGTTAGAAGACCAGGTGCGCTTGAGGAGGAGCTGAGGCGGTGGAGGAAGAGCGGGCGCCAGGGTGGCCCGCAGCGGTGCATCCCCGCGGTGCTGGACGCGCCAGTTGAGAAACCCTCTGCCTGGAACGATAGCTCAGAAATGACCGAGTTGATGAACTAACCAGCCTCATAATTCTAAATTAGCCTGGGCTGCTGCTTTTCCAAAGGCCTTTTTCTTATCAAAACCTAGCTGCTACCTTGAGACCTGGCTGAAAAGAGAGAGAGAGAGAAAACCTTTTTCTTGTTATTGATAATTGTAATGAATGCCCGGAAGGAACAGAGAAGGCTTCTGTGTTCGCTTTTAAAATTATTCCTTCAGTTACCGCGTATAACAAAATGTGTGTTTACGATTAATATTGAAATTTATCCCAGCCCCCTTAGTAAACAGTAGTGTACTTCTGTATTCTGACCTTGCCCTATTTCTCACTGCGGAATAATGTAGTCCTTTCCTCTCTTGTATTTATAAAGCTTCTGGAACACTTTTCAGTTGTTTATAATTCTTATATCTTCAGCACAGAGTTACTTGTCTTCGCTCTCCTCTGACCATTTTTCTTGCTATAAAATGAGCTCCAACCATTCAGAAGTTTGTCTGGGGTATGAGCTGCTACAGACCGAAAATCCTAAATTCCTCATTTCTATGTTGAAGTCACCCCAATGAGAAGCAATGCTTCCTGAATTCCGAACTCAGGAGTAGTATCCTTTCAGTTCCCTGGTTTCAGTTTCTAAGTATTTTTCTCCATAGCATAGTTGTATGTTTCAAAAATACGTTAGTTCTTTGTCATTTGGTGTAACTGAACTTTATAGTTGATGTGTGTGACCTGATCCGCCTTAGTTCACCACACCTGCCTTCCTTTTCCCCTTGCAAAAAGGCAAGAAAAGTCCAGGGAGAATTCTTGCAAGTCTAGTGTATTTTTTTCCAAATATGAAATGTATTTAGTAAACACATTGGTACTTTTAGAAATCCGTATGTTAGGTCTCCAAGTATAATACTCTACCCTTTTGTACTTTTTCTTTCTATAAATTTTTCCTGATTAAAATAGTTGAACCCAGAACAAGCATTCTAGACTCTGTAGTGACTTTAACTGGCCTAATTGTTTCACTATGTATCTTTTGTAACTTAATTTCTTATCTTGATAGATGATATCTGCTTACAGATCTAGAGTTTGAGTAAGTAATGGGTAATAAAGTAAGTACAGTGTTAGTAGTGTCCTTAGGGACCTAGTCGGTAGTACTTAGTATTTATTGCTTGTGTTAAAGTTGACAGTGAAAACAATCAATGATTATTTCAGTTCAGTGTTTCTAAGTGAAGATGATACAAAATTTGATGGAAAACAGGTTTCAGACAGGTTTTCTAAATACTTACTGTACAGTACTTGCTATTTAGTCATCTTGTTGACTTTCAAGGTTTTTAATTGTTTTAACACTTTATGACTGGATTATGGTTTAAATTTTTAGGGTTTTTTTCATATGTTTTGTTTGCTGTTGGGTTTTTTGGTCAATTACCCATAATGTGATTTTTAAAAATTTTTATAAGCAATATTTAAACTACAGCAATTCATTTGTTAGTGAAAGAAGTGATCGGTTGTGTATAGGACCCGCTGGAGAATTTGGCATTTTTGGAATCCTTGATGTTCTTGTGAGTTTCAAAATAATAGTTCTTTATTTAGAAAATCCTTCAAATGCTTTTTGAAAGCACATTTTTATCTTGCTAAAAAGGACTGTTTTATAGGTGGCACAACAGTATGAGAGTTACTAGTTCTTTGAGAAATTTTAACTGGAGATTTTGTTGCTGAATTTATGCCAGTGGTTTGCAAATTTTGTTCTTATGTAAAACTACTGTTCCATGATTTAGAGAGAGGTATTTTGTTAACATCAAATAATGAATGTTTCCCAATTTATGTAAACATTAGTAAGTTTTCACAATTTTACATTTTTCTTACATACATATATATGTGTGTATATATATATATATATATTTTTTTTTTTTTTTTTGAGACAGAGCCTCAAGCTGTCCCCCTGGGTAGAGTGCTGTGGCATCACAGCTCACAGCAACCTCCAACTCTTGGGCTCAAGTGAGTCTCCTGCCTCTGCCTTCCAAGTAGCTGGGACCACAGGCTCCCACCACAACACCTGGCTATTTGTTTTGGTTACAGCCATCATTGTTGTTTGGTGGGCCCAGGCTGGATTCAAACCCACCACCTTAGATGTATGTATGTGGCTGGCGCCTTAGCCACTTGAGCCACAGGTGCCGAGCCTTACATATATATTTTTAACTTCTGCTTCTCTCCAAGTTTGTACTAATAGATAACTAAACAAATTAACAAAAATCAAAAGAATACTAAGTGAATTATAAACAAAAACTATCCACAATATTTATGGCATTCATTCAGTAAACATTTGTTGTGTGCCTGTGTATCTGCCAGAAGAGAGACTACAGCTGCCTTCTTCAAGATGTTCACAGAGAGGGATGGTCAGGTGACTTAACAGATTTTATGTGCTGTGGTGGAAGGATGTGCAGTCGAAGGACACCAGAGAAGCCATACCAGGTCACTAGAGGATGGCTTCAACATATTTTTTTATGAACATGCATTAAGTGGTGGTTTTATATGCTGTAGATCGTAGTCACATTTTTATTTATTTTAACATCCACATAATGATGGATGTTAATATTTATCAATATGGTTTTCAAAATAAACCATAAATTCCAACCCCTCCCTTCTAAGGTGAAAACCCACTATTCTAGGTGCTCTTGGGTAGTCCCTTGATCAGGGGTGGCAAACCTTTTCATGTTGGAAAGCCACATTAATTTAGCTATAATCGACGAAGACCACATTTAAGAAACTTCAGTTAGATATACTTAAAAGTGTACGTTATTATGTAAAACTCTGTTATGTACTTAATAATTTCAAAAATGAAAACTGTCATTTTAAAACTAATTAACTTGTAATGACTTTGTTGGGTCTGCTTTTTGTGGGAAAGCATTTGAATATTTGGTTACAGCATGGAGGTCCATAGCTTCAGTTGATCCTCTAGATAGGTATCAGTCATTTGTGACCTTAAATGTGTCTTGATTTGGGTTAGGTAGGAGAATGTAGATTCACAGCAATAAATGGTTGAAAAGAAAACAGTTTGGGGGTGTGTTGCCAAAAGTGTGAGTGCTGTACTACATTTTTCTATATTTCAATTGTATCTTTTTTAGCATCAAACGATGACTTTAAAATGTCATCTACTGCATAACTACAAGAGGGACTTTACCTAACAAATTCAAATATTGTGACCTGGTTTTTTGTATTGTGATCTGGTTAATGTGAGGACATTAACCTGAAATTTAAAAAAAAAAAGTCATCTGCTGATTGCTCAATCAATTCCATCTGTCATTCTTGAGGTGCCTTGGTGATATCAACTAGGTGAGCTGAAATGCTAATTTGAGTGTGATGTCATGATTCTTAAAGTCAGTGAACCTTTCGTTGTATTCTCCAGTTAATAGGGCTATAATAGCTGTGTATTCTTCAAATGATTTATTATCCTGTTCATCAATGTGACCTTTGGTAACTGGGAAAATGTTCATCCAAAATTTTCTTTTGAAGAAGTATTTTGAAAAGGGGTAGCTTTTTTCCAAATTCTTGGATTTTTTTTGCCACATATTATATATAGACTAAGTTTTACCTTGCACAGGAATATTCAAGTCATTTCAATTTGATAAATCACATAGCAATGCTGCATTCCTGTAGAAATCCTCTTTCAATAATTCACATTGCTAACTCTCTGCTTAATGAAATTTAACTGTTCTTGCAGAGATAAAATTTTTGCTAACACCTGTCCCTACACATAGCCAAACTCTTACTAATACAATTAGCATGTTATGAAACTTAGAATACTAGTGTTACATTGGCACAAATATATGACTTGTACAAAATGTCACTTAAAATAGTAGCATTAGGCACAGAGATTTTGCTTACCCAAATTACAATGGAAAGAAATGAGAGCATCTGGATATGTTAACAACTTTTTGTATCTGTAATGAATCCTTCCTGTTTTCCTGTCATGGAAGGTGCACCATCTATATACATGCACTAAATTTACTAAATTCAGTCCAACTTCATGACATTTATCTTAAAAGTTATTGAGAATATCTGTTCCACAACTTCTATTTGCAAGAATGCCCAAAGCAAGTAACTCCTCCTGGCAAGAAAAAAAAAAAAAACTTCTGTTATGACCTGAGTGAAGTATAAAGCCTGTGCCAAGTCAGTAGTATCAGTTGGTTCATCCAAACAGATTGAATAATATATATTTTTCTTTTGAAGTGCTGCATGAAGTTCTGTTCAGTTGAAGATTAATCATACTGCTGATCAGTTACGGTTCTCCGTGAAGGAGGCACTTGTTTATACTTTGAAACTTAATCAAGGACCTAAGCATCCTACAACTTTGATAATGCATTCTTACAATTTTTACCTCACTGAATGGCTTCCTGCCCCCCGCTCAAGTATATAATCTACTTTATAAATTGCTTCAGTGGCATTCTTTCCACATCTTATTGCTGTCTGAAAGAATTGTCTTTGTTTTTGCTTTTTTGTTTTTTAATTTCTGCAATATAATCTTTCCTACCTCTCCCTCTGATTTAAAACATTTGTGGTCCTTAGGAGTGTTCTATTGCTGATGAACATTGAATTCCTTTAATGTTGATATTGCAGTATCCCAAAACAAGCAAATCACCTTTGGCAGAAACACAATAATATTACAGTTCCCAATCCTCATTAAAAATCTGTTTTCTTCATTCAGTATTCTCTTGGTCTTTGACGTGATGGCCTGTTAAGCAGACAGAATTAAAATAATACCATTGAATTGTGCAACTATTCCCAAATCGTACCTCAGACAGAAACACAGTACACCATTGTCATAAGTTGGTATAGTTAATCCCCATAAACTCTCACCAAACAGCCTCATGTGGTACAGGCACCAGTCAGGCGGGATGCCTGATTAAATTAGAACTAAATCATGAGTGTAGCAGCCATCAATATAGCTCTTATGGCTTACTAATGTTCTAGTTGTGCCCGTCAATCTGGGACGATTATTTTGCTAAACTTACTTTATTATCTAGTATTTTAAACATGTTAATTTGTAAAATAAAAATATAAAAGACAGATACAAATGCATTAATAAAAATAAAAGGGTATGTTCTATAAAATTTGGATTTAGTCAAAAGGCTGCACTTAAGGACTAAGGCCAAGTGTGGCTTTGAGGCTACAGGTTCTCCACTCCTGCCCTAGAAACCTCTAAGCTAAGATATTTGTTTCTCTTGAGATACAGTGGCTATAAATCCCCTTGGCTATATATTTAAAATATACAATGTTGCCTTCAAAGTTTTTTAAATTTTTATTTTTTAGTGACCTGGATCCTCTCAATTTATTTTCATTTATCTCTGTAATACATTTATTATTGCTAAGTCAGCTCACATTCAAAATAATAATTATTGAGTTTTTTGGGTCACTATTATTGTACTTCTATAATTAAGGTAACTAAAAGAATAAATCTGAAATACAGTACGTTAAATTTTGATACTAAAAGCAAAGTTATTTCTTCTGAGATACCTTCTTCAGAGTCTCCTTCTACCACTTAGAATTATGTAGTTATTTAGCTCTGTTTACGTCTGTAAAATAGGGAAGGATATAATGTCTACCTCTTAGGATTATTGTAAGAATTAAATGACAATCTATAGAAAATAGTTTGAAGTCTGACATGTAAGCAGTCCAGAAATAGTCTTAGGAAAATTGTAAGGTAGAAAAACTTCCTGTTAAATACAGTCACTTGAATGTGTGTATATGTGTTAATGGTTTTTGATGTGGCAAAATTATAGGACTTTAAGGTTTGTTACCCTCCCAATAATACATAAGTCAATCCTGTTTCCTCATTTAGCTGTATGAATCTGAAAAGATAGAAATATAAATCTTTAAAAATATGACCATTTAAATAAATTTTATGGTAGATCCATGTGGGTTTACTGAATTCTCACTTAAAGGTATTACTAGTTCTTTTTTTTTTTTAAGAATGAGTATATTGCTGTTTTTATAGTAATATATATGAAAGTAATTTTTCTGTATATTTAACAGAAACTATGTGAAGCAACACTCTTTCTGGATTTTGAAAGACATCATTTCATCATGGGACAGCAAATTTCGGATCAGACACAGGTGGTTATTAGCAAGTTACCAGAAAAAGTAGCAAAACACGTCACATTGGTTCGAGAAAGTGGCTCCTTAACTTATGAAGAATTTCTTGGGAGAGTAGCTGAGCTTAATGATGTGTAAGCCTTGCTCTTTTTCTTTTTCTTTCTTTTTTCCCCAGGACATATGCTCCATATGCCATGGCTGTGTAAGAAGTAACCAGAGGTATTGATTGGTAAAACTTAATGTTTTCAACAGCAGTTAGCAAATACAGTATTTGACTGTCTATTATAAGTAGACTTTCTGTTTAACTTTTAAAAAATATGTAATGGGAACAAAAGAGATGGTAGGAACTTAAAATGAATTTGCAACACAGAGCACAAGCATATTGAAGCAGTACAATATGAAGCAAGTCTAAAGTACAATACAACCCAACATCTCAGCAATTATATACTGATAGACTATAATTTGATTCTTGTTTGAAAGTACTGAAGGGGTGCATAACAGAAGGGAATATGCCAATTAGCCACTCTAGAGAGACTCCTAAGATAGTCAAAGGTAACAATGAGAAGATTTCTATATATCAGCCAGTCAGGTCATACTGTGTATGTGTACAAATCCCTGTGTTTGTTTGTTGAGCCATTATTAAGAGCCATGCTGTTAAATTACCGAGCCATTATTTTACCAGAGAAATACATATATAGTAATAGTTCGTTTTAACAGAAGTGTATTTCATTTATTAATGTTTTCTGATTAACACCTTTAAATTCCTATTTAACTTTTGAATAAATTTCTAAGATGGGCTGTAAATTTTTCTGCCTTAAGAATATACCCAGGCTCCGCACCTGTGGCTCAAGCAGTTAAGGCGCCAGCCACATACACCTAAGGTGGCGGGTTCGAATCCCCAGCCCGGACCCGCCAAACAACAATGATGGCTGCAACCAAAAAATGGCCGGGCATTGTGGCCGGCACCTGTGGTCCCAGCTACTTGGGAGGCTGAGACAGGAGACTCGCTTGAGCCCAGGAGTTGAAGGTTGCTGTGAGCATGATGCCATGGCACTCTACCCAGGGGGATAGCTTGACCCTCCATCTCAAAAAAAAAAAAAAAAAAAAAAAGAATATACCCAATAGATCTTAGTCTTTTCTTTGTGAATTTCTTTTTCATTATATCAGTTTATACTGATCTGTATAGAAACTATGAAAATATATGGGGCTTTTTGTCTTTGAATGACTCCAGACTGCTATGCTTTTTGAATAATACTTTTTTTTTCTGTTTGCTTTCTTCCTTAATGACAGGTGGGCAGATGTCACTTTGTAATCAGTCTTCCTATAGCCACATACACATCTATCATTCTTCACACACACACACACACACACACTCCCTCCCACTCCCCTAGAAGCCTCTCAAGTGAGATCTTAAAGTTTCTGTTTTTAACCTTTTCAAATTAGCTATCCACTGAGCACATACTATGTGGAAGGCACTCTGCTGAGGGTTGGACATTTTAACTGAGGCCTAAATTGATTACCTAAGTATCCATGGCAGATTTACTCTCTCTGAGTTCCAAGCTTTTCCCACTGTCCCACATTATCTCTCTTTAAAGCCCCCAAAAAAGCCAAATGAAATTACCTAGCATTCTAGGGCCACTTAGTATGTAAATTTATAATATTATGGCCACTAGTAACTTAGGGTAAGCTAAATGAACCTCCTCCCTAGGTTGTATGACAGCTGTATTAGGTAGTATGAGACACACCTGGCAATAGGGAACACATTAGTAAGTTTGAAATCTTATCTTTATGAACATGGTTAGAGTCAATTGTTAACTAGCCATTCATGAAGAATAAAGATTATCTTAAAAGTTATCTCAGGAGATGATTTCTTTTAAGAACACTGGATTTCATTCATTTTAAAAGAACTTGTATGAAGATAAATATATAAAAATACATAGAAAATGAACTAGAAGGATGCACACTAACCTATACCCAGTTCTTGTCTCTGGGTGGGGAAATGGTGGGAAAGGAGGGGAGTGAGGGAGATTTTATACTTTTGCTGTGTTTATGTATTGTCTGATCTTTTATTATAAAAAATGTAGTCGCAGGTTTTTAAACTCCAGCATTTATTACAAATAGTAGCATTTGAAACATTACTTCTGAGACTGTATTCTTAAGGAATAAAATAGGATTGTGAATTAATAGTATCATAAGAGTGGAATGCTTTGTTATCTCTATAGTTTCAACTCTTGTGACGAATAACCAGTGCCATTAACTATCCCTTTAGAGCCTTAGAATTCACATATATGAACCCAGTCTATTGTATAAAATTTGCCTTAACCTAACGATGCAAAAATGTGCCCTGTGAAATCATCCACAAGCTCAGCTTACTGTGTAATACAGAGATAACAATAAAGGATATCTTCTTTTTATTTATTTAGCACAAGATACTTCTGATAGATTTGGTTTTTAAAACCTATTCCCATTGGTCAGAGTTGGGTGTTTCACAAGTGCATTGTTTCTGAGAACTGTAAAGTTAAGCCTATACAGAAGAAGCAGGGCTTGGTAGGTAGAAAACAGAACTGGTCTCAAATTCCTGACCTCAGGCAATCCTCCTGCCTCAGCCTCCCTGTGTGCTGGGATTATAGGCATCAGCCACCATGCTTGGCCTAGAAAATAAAACTGGAAACTGGCAGGGCTGAATTATGGACTTTGGACTTAGGACTTTGATTCCTAAGACTAGTTGCTTAGTTTTGGATGGCCTCATTTTATTTTATTTAACTGTAAGTCACTTAGTTGAGTATGATATCCCCAGTGGCACTTAGAGAGAAGTGTTAGTAATGATAAAAAGGAACTACAATATTTAAATATGTCTTTGAACTGATTTAAATTGGTATTGATAGCATAATATTGAATTATCGGCTCGGCGCCTGTGGCTCAAGCAGCTAAGGCGCCAGCCACATACACCTAAGGTGGCAGGTTCGAATCCAACCCCGGGCCCGCCAAACAACAATAAAGGCTGCAACCAAAAAAATAGCCGGGCATTGTGGCGGGTGCCTTTGGTCCCAGCTACTTGGGAGGCTGAGGCAGGAGACTCGCTTGAGCCCAGGAGTTGGAGGTTGCTGTGAGCAGTGAAGCCATGGCACTCTACCCAGGGGGACAGCTTGAGGCTCTGTCTCAAAAAAAAAAAAAAAAATACTGAATTATCTTCTAAAGTGTTATATTTTTATATTAGAATGCTCTGGCTCTCTAAAATTACTCTGCCAGAAGAGGACAGTAAGAGCTATAATTAAAATGTTTCGAATCATTTGTTGATTATCTATAAAACAAAAACTTCCAAAGAGATGTGTGAATGTTGTTTAAATAAGGACTCAACCAAGAGCAAGATTTTTTTCATGCTTTATATATATCTGAGGCAATAGTCAAAATACAGATAAGTGAAACTAGCTAACCTTTTTTAAAATTACCTAATTTCTCGGACTTGTTTTTCCTAAATGTCTTTGTTAGAAATTTAAAGACCATTGGAATATAAATATGACAAAAAGATTTATAAATAGCATTCTACTAAGCCATTGACTTTAAAAACCTTGGTTAAGTTTTATGTTTATGTTCAAAAAATGTTCTGTCCCTGTATTTTAAGAATCTAGTTGTTAGAGTCATTGTTGTTATTTGTCTTTATGTGTTTTCTTCATATTTTCTTCTCAGTATTTGAAAATGTTGCTTGAGTCTGACTTCATAGCACTATTATTTTATGTGACTTTTTGTGAAATTAATATATGATATGCATCTGTCTCTTTTCAGAACCGCTAAAGTGGCTTCTGGCCAGGAAAAACATCTTCTCTTTGAGGTACAACCTGGATCTGATTCTTCTGCCTTTTGGAAAGTGGTTGTACGGGTTGTCTGTACCAAGGTGAGACTGATAAAAACTTCCACTTCTGAGCTTAAATTATTTTTATGATTTGAACCACCTTTAATAGTATAAAATAATATAGTGTATATAAACGTTAATAATTTGCTGGTCTTGTAAAACATAGTTTTCATACTGTTACTGCTTTTTAGCTTTTTGAATTTCACCAGTTGTCTAATCGGGGTATAGCAGAGAATTTTATAATCAACTTCCTTTTGCCTCAGTATCTCTAACCATTACATCATACTTGCCTTCTAGCTCTATTTTGGGGTTTTCAGCTGGCTGTGGAATCCTATGAAAGTACCCTATTTAGTTTCCTGATGACCTCAAAATATGTTATCTCAGGAGATCATTTTTTTTAAGAACACTTGAGTTTCATTCATTAAAAAAAAATAGAAAACTTTTTGTGGCTCGGCGCCTGTGGCTGACGCCCTAGCCCGTAGCTCAACGGGCTAGGGCGTCAGCCACATACACCTGAGCTGGCAGGTTCAAATCTAGCCCAGGCCAACTACAACTAAATAATTACCAGTCATTGTAGTGGATGCCTGTAGTCCCAGCTACTTGGACGGCTGAGGCAAGAGAATTGCTTAAGCCCAAGAGTTTGAGGTTGCTGTGGGCTGTGACACCATAGCACTCCACCAAGGGTGACATAGAGAGACTCTGTCTCAGGAAAAAAAAAAAGGCTTTTTGTTTTATAGTAATTTTTAGTTATGGAATGGATTTTTTACCATCAGTGCACTGTTTCTGAGTTCATCTTTACATTTTAGATAATAAAATATATCAACTGCGCTAAAAAATACAATGATAGCTGTCATAGAGTATCAGAAAGCGTTATCTACTATGAGTGGGTTAGAATAGACAGTTCTTAACCATTTTGATGCCACAGACCTTTCAATGATAATGAAGGTGTGAATTGTATTAGGCTTCCTCCTATCCCAATCCCTGATCTGAAACAAACAAAGCAGAAGTAAAATCATCTGTGTGCCTATAAACCATAAATTGGGTATTTACAAATGTCCAGAAGTCCATTTCTGACCAACCAATTAAAAACTTCTAGGTGAGAGGATTTTACCTTTGAGTCATGGACCCTGGGGTAATGCTTGGACCCAAGTAATATGCTGTTTCCTCTGTAGATGATCAGTTTTACCTCTATTATGTTTCACTTCCAGTTTATTCAAATATTTGAGCACAGGTATGCCAGGCACTAGGAATATATGATAAAGAAGACAAATTACTACTCAAGTAGACTGTAATTATAGTTCTGGCCCCTCTCACTTTTGATTCAGATTGCTACAGATTCTGTATTAATTTCCATACTTCTAGGCTCTTCTACTCCAAATTGTAATTTATGCTACTGTGAGATTTGCCTTTCTAAAACGCAGCTCTCATCAGATCACTATCCTGCTTAAAATTCCTTAACAATTTCTCCTTGCCTACAAAGTAGCCCCAACTCCTTAATGTGGCATTCAAGGCACCCTACAATATGGCTCCAAACTCTGTTTTCTCCTTTACTCACAATTATCTCCTTGTGCATTCTACATTCTCACCAGACTTAACTAATTTAAGACTATGTAATTGTTACTTTTCTACCTCAGTGCCTCTGCTTATTGAGTTCCTGCAACTAGAATGTCCATTCCTTCTGTTATTTAAATTGCTATCAGCTACAAGTCACTGGAAACTCCTGTTAAGCCAGTTTAAACAGAAACAGTATTTATTCTTTCATTTATCGAGAAATCATAGCTCCATAGTCTAGCTTCAGGACTCTTTGGTCAATATTAGGTCATATTCCCTTAGTACACTGTCCCTACACTGGCAGAGGGACTGTGATTACCATTATTGGTTTAGATTAAACTAACCAGAATTAACTCCAGAGTCCCTGAGTCATTTGAGGGAGTGATGGACACCAGAACAAAATAAAGTTCTGGGAACAATGAAAAGTAGGAATAGTATTTCGATAATCAGCACAGCCATAGTTTCTGCCACATCTTATTGTTTCTGTATGTCTCAACTTGATGTTTCTTTAAAGATCCACCTCAAGTACCATCTTATTCACAAAGTCTTCCTGAATAAACATTCTCTTGCCTCTTCTACATTACAACAGCACTTTATTTATACTTTGTAATTAAATTCTACATTAAGAATAAAATTATTTATTTAGGTTCTTAGTTCCCCTTATAGATTGTAAATTCCTGGGAACAATAACTATGTCTAGATTCTACCTGTTCAATCTTATGTCCCTCACAGCCCCATAGTAGAGTGCTTTGTATCTGGAAGGAACTCGGTATATGTTGAGTGAACAAATGTCTGTTGAAGTATTTTCGTTTTATTTATTTTTTAATTTAATTTTATTTTTTAGTACTCTTAATTTTAAATGACTGGGATAGGTTGAAATTTTTCTTTTTTATTGATACAGTATACCTAAATTACATTCACTCTCCATCTTTATTTCATCAAGTTCTTAGCTCATCTTGGAAGAGGCAGCCATATACACCTAAGGTGGCGGGTTCAAATCCAGCCCGGGCCCACCAAAACAACAATGATGGCTGCAACCAATAAATAGCCAGGCGTTGTAGCGGGTGCCTGTAGGCCCAGCTACTTGGGAGGTGGAGGCAGGAGAATCACTTGAGCCCAGGAATTGGAGGTTGCTGTGAGCTGTGATGCCATGGCACTCTACCCAGGGGGGATAGCTTGAGGCTCTGTCTCAAAAAAATAAAGTGAAAGAATTGTCATATGGATCCTTAATTTATTTCTTAACTGTGGAAAAGTCATCTAGTCCATTACCTCTAAACAGGATGATCCGTAGTATCTTGTAGGGTTCTTTTGAGTATAAATGAGAGAAATTTGAGTTTAATACTTTGAACTTACAGATGTTAGGGGACATGATATTATTTATTTATTCAGATTCTTGCTTTTTTAGGTAATTTGCAAACCTTGGAAACTTCTTTCCTAGGATAATTGACTAAATATTTGTTACCTCTTTTTATTTTGGAAAAAGTGGTCAGAGACATGGTCAACCTTTATTTTTTTCATTTTCTTTGTGTTTTTAGATTAATAAAAGCAGTGGCATTGTGGAAGCATCACGGATCATGAATTTGTACCAGTTTATTCAACTTTATAAAGATATCACAAGTCAGGCAGCAGGAGTATTATTAGCACAGAGCTCCACTTCTGAAGAACATGATGAAAACTCATCCTCTGTAACATCTTGTCAGGCTAGTTTTTGGATGGGAAGGTAAACAGTGCATAATTACAATGTTTGTTTATGTTCCAAGATGCAAACCACTGAAATCTCATTAGTATATTTTGCTAGTGCTCATTGTGACATCTTAAATCTTTTTGTTTCAATTGGTGTTATACATGTATCTGAGATCAGTTTTGGGGTTATTCAGTGCTTCCTACATTGATTGTTATGGTGCCAAATGAAAACTAAAGTAAACTGGTTCACATCAGTTAATGTTTCTTTCAAACTAATCTGCAATAATCCACTTCTGTTCTATTTACTTGCATTTAATGACAAAGGAAACAGTTAATGCCCCCTTGTAGTATCTATTTAGGTTCTTAGTCAAAGCCCTTTAGGGAATTAGGTCCAGGAATATGGCAAAATCATCTCAGCTTTTCTTAAAAGTGTCTGATTAATTGGAACATTTAAGTTTTAAATATTAGCTTCAGGACTTGGCAGTCCACTGAGGAATGAACTGAATGCATATACTGAGTTACCAGAAGGAAATGAAGTCAGCCAGAGTTTTCTCTGATGGTACTTGTTTACTCAGGCCTAATATATTATTGTTCTATCTAAACTTTCTTTTCCTTCTCTATTATGCTTTTGGCACGTGAAAGCTCCCACCTGTTGCCATTTGACAATCATGACCATAATTTAAATTTATAAATGCCTCATTGGAAAAAGAACTTACGTGGCTCCAGACATGTTGACATCCTGTCTTATTGTCTTATTGCAGAAATCTGTATTGATAGTGTCCTTTACTTTAATGTCAAAAATGTGTTTAACAACAATTTATCTTTTATTGCTCTATGTACAGTTGCATTTTCCTTTTTTTTTTTTTTTTTTTTGAGACAGGGTCTTGCTCTGTCACCCTGGTTGAGTGCAATGGCATGATCATGGCTCACTGCAACTTCAGACTCCTAGGCTCAGGCAATCCTGTCTCAGCCTCCCAAGTAGCCAAGATTACAGGCATGCACCACCACACCTGGCTAATTTTTCCATTTCTTTTATTATTATTATTTTTTTTTTTATTGAATGGTAACTATGTACATTAATGTACTTCTGGGATACAGTGTGGGGTTTTCACATGCAATCCGAAATACTTCCATCAAACTGGTCAACACAGCCTTCATGTCATTTTCTCAGTTATTGTTTTAAAACGTTCACATTCTACTCTTAGAAAGATTCACTTGTACCCCTATAAGATAAACCTCAGAAGTGATCCCTCCAATCCCCCTCCCTCCACCTATTCCCCCCTCCCTTCTCCCTCCCCCCTCCCCATATTCTTAGGCTATTTGGTTATAGCTTTCATATAAAAGGTATAAATTAGTTTCATAATAGGGGTGTGTACATTGGATACTTTTTCCTCCATTCTTGTGATACTTTGCTCAGAAGAACATTCTCCAGCTCCATCCATGTGACATGAAGGATGTAAAGCCTCCATCCTTCTTAATGGCTGCATAGTACTCCATGGTGTACATATACCACAGTTTGTTGATCCATTCGTGGATCGATGGGCACTTGGGCTTCTTCCATGACCTGGCAATTATGAATTGGGCTGCAATAAACATTCTGATACAAATATCTTTGTTCCATTTCTTTTAGAGACAGGGTTGCATTTTTTTCTCTAGCTGGTCTTGAGCACCTATCTGGTTCATTCTTAAACCAACTCGTTTCCAAGTGCTATGCTATAGTTAAATTATATTTTTTTACATTTATCATGTCCTGGTTATCTTTAATAGAATTATTTGGTTTTCTAGGTTTGGGATATCTAAGTGTTATTGACACACCAAATGAGTTTTAGAACATTGTAGGTTATCTTTCGGCTCATCTTTCAAAGATGGGTCTGATTTCTGCTCTTTTTTGTTCTTCCTCTAAAGAATGGTGATTTTTTTTTTTTTTTAAGTATTTTAAAAGTTGACGATGGTGTTAACCGGTATATTTAAGCTCTATGATAGCAAATGAAAAAGAGTACTTTTTTTCATGTTTCTCTCATCTTAATGAAGAAGATAGAAGTGTTATCCCCTTTCATGTGTCCTGGAGACTAGAAACTCAATGCCTGATTGGTTTGTTAAGGCTGCTTCTCGTCTTTGTATGTTGTTGGTTTATGGTGATACCCTGATAAGCTAGTTCATAGAAGACTTTCCAAGTTGAAGGGAATTGTAAGGGGCATTTATATATTTCAGCTTTACATCTGATGCATAATTCTACTTAATGGTTTACATTTATTGACTATTTAAAGGGTATTAAAATTGTGATAAGTATTATACATATATAAACTTATTACATCCTTACCAACCCATGGGAGTATAATTATTGGCCCATTTCAGATGAAGAAACTAAGGTTTAACCAAATTGTCATGATTAGAATTTGACCTAGGTGAGACCCACATTGTCTAGCAATACAGCCACACTGTAACCTCTGCACTGTTACTTTGTGGTACAGATAGCTCTTGTGATATTATGCTTCTCAAACATTAATATTCAGTGATTTTGAGGAGGAACCTAAGACTCTGTTAAGTTCCCAGGTGGGGCATGTGCTGCAGATCCTCAAATAACATTTGGAATAGCAAGACTGGACTTTTGCTAAGTTGTAGTCCAACTTGCAAGTACAAGTAACACTGCAGTTCTCTGAGACTCACTGCCTCAGAGAAGCAAGCCTTTTCATACTCAGATGCCTCTAACCAGGGTGAAATTTTCCTTTTGCTTTATATTCCTCAGTAGCCAAAATCTGGTTCTCTTGATACAGCACATTACAGACTCTGGAACCATTTTCCCTGTGTTCACTCCTAACTGATTTTTGGACAAATTATTAAACCTTTTCTTCAGTTTCCCCATCTTTTCAGAGGTTGATAACTATAACTATGTTAAAAGGCAAATCATTAGGTTTGGGGGTCACTACAACATGAGGAACTATATTAAAGGGTCATGGCAGTAGGAAGGTTGAGAACCACTAATAGTATCTGCTTCCTAGGACTGTTGAGAGAGTTAAAAGATACAGCCTGCTTAGAACAGTACCTGGCTTATATTAGTGTTTCTCTATGAGTTAGAGTTATTTTGATAACTATTATTATTAAACTGTTACTGTATTCTACTTACTGTTCTCAGTAGCTGTGCCCTCTGGAATTCCACCAAACAAGTCTCTTCTCTCTTCCAGCCTTTCAAATATTTGAAAACAGGGATCACATTCTCACTGAACTTTCTGTTCTCAAGGATAAGCTTCCCCAGTTCCTTCAGCCTTTGTTTATATGAATCTTTTCTACATACTGGAGGCTTTCCTGGTTGATTCTTTATCTGCCAGTATGCCTTTCAGAGTATGAGACATAGAATTAAATACGGCAATCTACAAGTGATCTAACAGGAACAAATAGAGCCAGACTCTCCCTTCGGTTCACCATGCTGCTAGGAAAGTAGCAAAACATCAAGGGAACATTATACAGGTTCCCCTGGCTACTTTCTGTTTCTCTTGTTCTTTTATCTCTGTCTACAATGCTGTTCTTTGTAGCCCTACACTCCTTACTTTTAGACTCCAACCTTCAGAACATTCTGTCACTCTTTATGGATTCAGTTATATTCTCTGTTATTGACGTCTGGAAGATTATAAACTCCTCAAAACCAAAAACCCTAATTCATCTGGATCCAGACCTAAAAAGCACTTAAATATTGAACTGAACGTATTTTTTAACGTAAAATTCAGATACATTAGATTAGTGGTTCTCAGCTTGGCACCTGTGGCTCAAGTGGCTAAGGTGCCAGCCACATACACCTAAGGTGGCGGGTTCAAATCCAGCCTGGGCCCACCAAACAACAATGATGGCTGCAACCAAAAAAATAGCTGGGCGTTGTGGTGGGTGCCTGTGGTCCCAGCTACTTGGGAGGCTGAGGCAGGAGACTCGCTTGATCCCAGGAGTTGGAGGTTGCTGTGAGCTGTGATGCCACAGCACTCTACCCAGGGGGACAGCTTAAGGCTCTGTCTCAAAACAAACAAAAAAAAAGATCAGTGGTTCTCAACCTTTCTGTTGCTGTGACCCTTTAATACAGTTCCTCATGTTGTAGTGACCCCCAAACCTAATGATTTGCCTTTTAAAATGCTCCTTAGTCTAGGCCCTAATTATCTCCTTATCCTGAGATAAGGTCCTACCTGGTTTTCTTCTCTCTAAACTGTCCCTCATACTGCACTCCCAGTTAATCTTCCAGAAGTACTATCTCAGTGGGAGTCCACTTTCCCTTACTGATTCTAGTTTGCTTGTCAGAACACATTCAAACTTAGAATTTTGACAGTTAGGGATCAGGTGATCTCTGCTATATTTAATCTTTTCTCTCAGTTTCCCCCTGGAGCATCACACCAGCCCCCTTGTACACACATTTTTATTTTCTACCTTCATGATTTTGCTTGTGTGCCTAGAATGTCCTCTCTCAAATCCCATTATTTTTCTGTCTCATCTTTCCAACAAGTTCATATTCATCTCTGCCTTCTTTACTTAGCATTTATCATACGTAGTATACATGTGATATCTGTTTGTATTTACTATTAGCATGTTCAAATCAATGAATTTTTGAGTATTATCTCAGCGTGGTCTACTGTGTTGTGCTGTAAGCACAGCAGGGGATGAAAAACACATTAGAGATAGCTCTTGCCCTTAAGAAGCTTACAGTGGCTATCCTTGGAAACATTCTGTTTCTGTATGATTGCAGAAGTAATACATGTTTGATGAAGAAAACCTTAAAAATTACAGAATAACATAGGATAAAAGAAATCAGAATCACTTCAAGAAACATTTATTGAGAATCTAAGAAAACACCCTATACTTCAAGAACTTATTGTTTATGGGGTGACTAACCAATCAATAGTCAATTAATATGCAATACTTAAGTAAGTTCTTTAATTGAATCAAATGTTGATTTTGAGAGCAGAGAGAAGATGGTAATTTGAGTTAGTAGAGTTAGAGTGGATTAAACTCACAAGGGCAGTTTGAGGAAAGGAAAACACCATGTACAAAAGCATGTGGCTTATTCGTGGGCATTCTGAATTGTGGGTGGGGCGGAAGGTTCGACATTGTTTTTTATCCCAAGAGGCTAAAAGGGCTCCTACAGAACAGAAACTGCTTTCTATCCCTTTGTGTTTCTCATAGCTCCTGATACTGAAGTCTACGCAGTTCTTTCACTTATATGCTTATAGTGCATCAGCCATGTAAGGCCTTGATGGCAGGGTTCATATTTTAGAGAGCTTTATATCCTACATGATGAATAAATTATACAGTCATGCATTACATAATGACATTTTGGTCAACAACAGACTTTGTAGGTGGGCCCACAAACTTAATGGGGCTGAAAAATTCTTGTTGCCTGGTGATGCCATGGTTGTCCTGAGGTTGTAACACTAAACATACTACTCATGTATTTGTGGTGTAGTGTAAACAGACCCACTGTGGCACTAGTGGTATGAAAGTATAGATCATACAGTGATATAGTGTAATAATACTTGATCATAAATGACTGTGTTACTGGTTTATGTATTTATTATACTGTATTTTTTATCATTATTTTGGACTAGAGTATACTCCTTCTACTTAAAAAAAGAATTTAACCGTAAGTCCTTCAGAAAGTATTCTAGAAGGAGGCATTGCTATCATAGCAGATGACAGCTACGTGCTTGTTATTGCTCCTGAAGACCTTCCAGTCTTCAAGGTAGCTAAGATATGGAGGTGGGAAGCAGTGATACTGATGATTCTGACCCTGTGTAGACCTACACTAATGCATGTGTTTATGTCTTAGTTTTTAACCAGAAGTTTAGAAAGTAAAAACATTAAAAATCTTAAAAACAGAAAAAAGTTTATGGAATAAGGATATAAAGAAAAAATATGTAGAGCTGTACAATGTTTATGTTTTAAATTGTGTTATTACAAAAGAGTCAAAAAGTAAAAAAAAGTTTATAAAGTAATAAAGTTATAGTAAGCTAAGGTTAATTTGTCGTTGAAGAAAAGTTTTTGTATAAATTTAGTGTAGCCTAAGTGTACAGTGTTAATAAAGTCTACAGTACTGTACAGAAATGCCCCAGGCCTTCCTGTTCCCCCACCACTCACTGACTCTCCTAGAGCACCTTGCAGTTCTGCAAGCTCCATTCACTAGAGGTGCTCTATACAGCTGTACTGTTTTTTTTTTATCTTTCATATTCTACTTTTACTGTACCTTTTCTATGGTTAGATATGTTTAAAGACATAAATACATACCAGTTTGCTACAGTTGCCTATAGTATTCAATACAGTAACATGCCATACAGGTTTGTAACCTAGGAGCAATAGGTCTAGCAGGTCCTCGGCTAGACCCCCTGGGTCTGTGTAAGTACACTCTATGGTGCTTGCCCAGTGACTAAATCACCTGACACATTTCTCAGACCACATCCCCATCATGAAGTGACACATGACTATTGTGTTAAATTCATTTATCTAAATTCAGTGGTTAAAATCAGCTAAGTTATATTCAGAAAGACCTGAATATTTCTAGCTTTTCACACATATTTCTTTAACTATCACAGTCTTTTTTTATGAAGTTTACCCCTCTTAGTACCTCTTCCCCTTGCTATCCCCAAAAGATGTTAATTTTACTCTGATTTTGCATGAATTATATTGTACTTTATACTGTGGACATGTAGATATTTAATAATGCTTTTTAAGGTTGGGCTCGGTGGCTCACGCCTATAATCCTAGCACTATAGAAGGCTGAGGCAGGTGTATTGCCCTGAGCTCACAGGTTGGAGACCAGCCTAAACAGGAACAAGACCCTGTCTCTAAAAAATAGCCACATGTTGTAGTAGGCACCTGTAGTCCGAGCTAAAGAGAATCGGCTGAGTCCAAGAGTTGGAGGTTGCGGTGACAAAATGAGACTCAGTCTCAAAAAAAAAAAAAAAAAAAAGAAAATGCTTTTTAAGGTAGTGAAAACAAAGTATGAAGTATAATGACACAGAACATCATTGTTTCAGCTCAGTCTTCACATTGCAGGGTGAAGCAGCTGACCGATGAAGAAGAGTGTTGTATCTGTATGGATGGACGAGCTGACCTCATCCTGCCTTGTGCTCACAGCTTTTGTCAGAAGTGTATTGATAAATGGTAAGTTAGCTCCTGCACTCATGGGATTGGGAAAGGTCAGATGGGGTAGTATATATGAATAAACCTTGAAAAGACTGTAGTTAAGTATGAGAGATTTTTTTTCTTCAGTATTTTGAATTTTATGGCATTCCTCCTGCTGGTTAAACATGTCTTTAACCTGAAGTTTGTAAAATGTGAGGATGTAGCTTAGTTTTGACATTTTACTTTTGCTATAAGGAGATCTGTGCCTGACTTGAGTCTAGAATCAAACATTTCCTTTTTCTCCTCTTTTCTACATTTATTCTTATAAATTCTTGAATGTTGGAACTAGAAGGAACTTTAGAGATCAGCTAGTAAAGCTCATTATTTTATAAAACAAGAAATGAGCATTTAGGAGAATTTAGAAAAGACATGAATCAACTAGATATATTTAAAGTATATTTTGATATGTTTTGACATATAGACATACACATAAAAGCAATCATCACAATCTAAATCTTGACCATCTCTACCGTTCCCCAAAGTTAATTGTGCCTAATCTAAAGCCTCCTCCTCAGACCTTTTCCCCAGTCCTTAGGCAACCACTAATCTGCTGTTTCTATAAAATTTGGATTGTCTAGAATTTTTATAAATGGAATCATATACTGTATGCTCCTCTTCCTCTAATTCAATCTCTCTTGAGAGAAATTCACATTGTAGCATACATCAGTAATTCATTTCTTTTTATTGCCGAGTAGTATCTATTATAATGTGGACACTATAGCTTGTTTATCCACTCACCTGTTGATGGACATTAGGTTGTTTCCAATTTGGGGCTATTACAAATAAAGCTATAAAATACACTTGTGGCCAAGTCTTTCTATGGATATATTTGAGATTTTTTTCTTAATACCTAGAAGCGGAATTACTAGATCATATGTCAGCTGTTATGTTTAACTTTTTAAGAAACTGCTATTTTCCAAAGCAGTTGTACCATTTTACCCTACCACTAACTCTGTATGAGAGTTCCCGTTACTCCACATCTTTACCCATACTTGGTATGGCCAGACTTTTAGATTTTAGCCATTCTAATAGGTGTGTAGTGATATTTCATTATATTTTTAATTTGTATCTCCCTACTAACTGAAAATGTTGAGCATCTTTTCACATATTGATTTACCATCTATAAATTGGTGGAAAGTAGCCATTCAAATCTTTACTCATTGTTTTTGGGATTCTTGTCCAAAATGAGTTTTGAGAGTTCTTTATATATTCTGGATACATGTCCTTTATCTATTAAATGATTTATAAATATTTTCTCCCACTCTGTGGGTTATTTCTTCATTCTCTTAAGAATGTCTTTTAAAAACTAAAAGTTTTGATTTTGATGAGGTCCAATTTATCAATCTATGATTTATGGATAGTGATTTTAGTGTGGTATTTTAAGAAATCTTTTCCTAACCCAGGGTCACAAAGGTTTTTTTCTGTCTTTTCTTCCAAAGCTTTAGTTTTTTTTGTTTGTTTTACATTTAGATATTTAGATCTATAAATCTTTTGCATTAATTTGTGTGAAGTATGGATCAAATTTCCTTTCTCTTTTTTTTTTTTTTTTTTTTTGGCTTATGGCTATTCAAGTTCTTCAGCACAATTTGTCAAAAGGCTATCTTTTGATCACTAAATTGCCTCAGCACCTTTGATGAAAATTAGTTGTTCAAATGTTGGTCTAATTCTGGATTCTTCTGCCCTTGCTTGATCTGTTTGTCCATTTCACACTAATACCTTGATTAAAGGGTAGCTTTATGATAAGTATTAAAATCAGGAAGTGTTAGTTTCTCAACTTCATTTTTTTTTT